CAGTTATGTTTATTGAAACCTTGGCCTGGAAATCTGTGTGGACAAAACCCATGGCTACAGATGTGACAGAGGGAAAACTGTACACTACAATGAAAGGCTGCACTATCATGACTCACTGCTTTACTGAGGTATCACTGTGTTGCTCTTGGTATGGAACATTTGCAATTTTAAGCCTTTAATTATTGTTTTATCTTCTTTTGTTTTACCAATTAATGTTGAATGCGCTGTTTGCACTGTCCTGTTGAAAAAGGAACAAATAAAAGGTGTTAAAAAAGATTAATGGAAACAAGTACATGTCTAAAAGGGGCTATAGAGGCAGACACCCATTCACATGAACAATTTAGATTTGCCAGTTAACTTAAGCTGCATGTCTTTGGACAGTGGGAGGAAGCTGAAGTACCCAGAGACAACAAACGCAGCAGGCACAGGGAAAACAAACAGCAAGCAAACAGAAAGGCCCTGGTCAGCTGTGAGGTTGAAATCCAGAAACCTCCTGCTGTGAGATGACAGTGCTAACCACTGCACCACCGTGCCACCCACATAAACATTACATTAGATTGTCGGAACAATACAATAATCAACATAAACAATTCTACACCAGCTGGCTTTAATCAAAGATTAACTGCATAACTTTTACTTTAATGGAGTATTTTTACACTACGGTATGCTATTGCTACTTTACTTCAGCAAAACATCTGAAATCCTTCTCTGCCCCTGACATGAGTAAAGTAAAACCAAATCAGAAGTAGGGATAATTGTAAACAACCTAAATAAATGCCACAGTCAAATGAAAGCAGCCATTTGGCCTCTCCACCCTAATTTACCACACTCCGTCCACTCAGGCCTGCAGCGCTGTGGAGCTGGCTGATCCTACAGCAGGGCGGGCCAGCCTATACGTCCCACTGGCAAGGGACGCCCCGCTGAGAGCCAATCACCAAGCCCACACTCCTGACAGCTCATTACCACTCAATTAGGCAGGTGCACCTCCACACACAGGCTTCTGACAAATGCAGCCCTCCCAGATGCGTGTTTAACATGCGAGAGAATTATATAGTGACAGCAAACACTAAACGCCTCACCCTTATCACTTGATTGCTTCAAGATTGAAATCCTATAATTGGTCCAGGCCAGCGGGAGGAAAAAAAAATAAGCCAATAAATATGATGCAGTCGGCTTGTAATTGAACAATTATGAATTCATATTCATAAGATGCTTGCTGGCAATTACAAAATACCATCTGATTAGGCACAATTCGAAATGACATTGTTCCATGCTAAAGACACTGTGGTATCAGCCTAATAAAGAGAAGACACATTATAGCAGTTGTTCATCCACCGACATGACCTCCAGAGATGGGAGACATGCTGACACAGAGGCTTGGCTGGTGATGGGCCGGACTTGGCATCCATCACTCTTTGTCCCCTAAACCTACTGCTTATACTCACTCACACAGAAAAATAACACCATCAAGGGTTGACTTTCAAATTTTACCACCAGTGGGCACAGATTGTGCACATAACAAAACACAACCAAGGCTAAAAAATGTTGATCCCTTGAGAACAGATTCTAATCAAGATGAAATGATTTACAAATCTATTTAATAAGGCTTGCCAGAAGTCAGACTTGGCATGTAAATGCGGTGGGGATTAAATTTCATCGGCAACCAAGACTGTAACTGATCGCCTGCAGACAAAGGGGGAGCCTGCCAGTTTTTTCTCCCCCTTCCACTTCTCTTCCCTCCCGCCCTCTTTCTCTCCACTGCCTACATTTTGCCTCGTGATCCCTCCCTGGCTATGTGGAAGGACAGGGGCAGTGCAGAGTGGTGCAGTACAGAGTGGAGAGGAAAGAGAGAAAAGACAGGAGACAGGAGAAGGAGGGAGGAGATGGAGACAGAGGAAGGGAGGAATACTGAAGATAAAGTAGTGGTGAGAGAAGGAGAGTAGAAGAAGAAGATGAAGAAAAAGGACAGAGGGAGAGAGGAGAGGAGGCTCAAGGTCAGCGTGAGGACAGTGTGGTCCTCTGAGTTGGACAGAGACACAGCCGCAGTCACCTCTGTGCTAATCAGCCCTTCGGCTGGCTGATGAGGTGTCAGTTGTGTGCCTGTGTGTGTGTATGAAAAACCTCTCCCTTTGCTTTTTTGGCTGCAAATTGCAGGGGCTGGTGGGGCGGAGTAACAATGTGTGTGTGCATGTGTGCCACTCTGGGGTGTAAGCAGTCTGACGTGCTGCTTGTGGTGCCAGTATTGCGCTTTTTTCCCTTTTGCCCTCCCCTTCGCCTCTTTTTTCTTGCATATTATGCTATAGTGACTGAAGCTGAACTCAGCTTTCCCTGCAGTGAGGGCCAGAATACAACTGCCAATTAACACTATGTGCAGTTTGCCAGTGTGAGGCATTCTATTTCAACTTGCTACGCTATTTGAAAAAAAAAAAAAGGTGGGCTAGTGCTTTTTCTTGGGCGTGGCTAACATCTTGCAGGCTTAAAGGGATTGCACACTTAGCTTAGGGTGCAAATGAACCAGTGTCCACATCTGTGACCAGGTTTGTGACCTAACAGCACTGCAGTTTGTGTCTCGTCGGATGAATTTTGTATATCAGACCAGTTGGCAAAGCCAAGTGTCTCCTCCATCTATCCTTGGGTTATTTCTGACCATCTGTGCCCAGTCATTAACAAACCTTTTCACAGTCAATTGTCTTGTTCATCTCCCCTCTCCTTCATTTCTATTACTTGTGCCAGCAAATGGACTAAGTGCTTCTTTTTTTCCTGAATGTAAATGGCATAAGTTAGAAGAGCTCATTTTATTAGCTGTGGCTAAGGAGAGCTGTGGAGCCATAGGTTAATTCAAAGTGGCATCATGAAGGATGCATCAAGTAGTGGAGATCAAATTACAGGGCAAAGCGCTCAGTGGTAAGAAAAACAAGGCAGTAGTATGCTGCAGAATGTGTGAGTGCACGGCTGTGTGTGTTTAGCAGCAAATGTATGTGTGTCTGAGAGAACCGAGTAAAAGAGAGAGGTTGAGGCAAAGAAGACAGCAAAAGGAAAGGAGGAGGAGGTGTCCATAGGGGGCCAAGGGGGGATGGGGATGGAAGTGAGAGCGAAGGGAAGGAGGGCAGAGAACAGGCTAACTGGGCCAGCATGTACACATCACCTCCACCAATTAGTCACTCATCTCCTCTTCACACAATACATCTCCCATTTCTGATGTGTACAATAGGCAGGGAAAGAACTAACTGCAAACATCACTGCCGCAGCAATGGCATTACACCAAAAATAAATAAAAAATAAATATATATCCCGTGCTTGAAATGCATTTAGCCATTTCTTCTCCCCCCTCATGCCTTTGTTATTGGTCTTTGTGCAATGATTTGCCTAAGGACCCAGATTTCCTAGCAACAGCCTGCCACCAAACATTTGGCAGGAGTTCAACATTCTCTCTCTTTGTGAGAAATGGCAGTGCTGCCTCCCTGCTCTGCGTCTGCCACCAGCCCTGCTGCTGCTGCCGCTGGATGAGCCAGACTGGCTGCAAGAGCCCTCTAATAATTCAGTTTTCATCCAATCACACCACACAGTAGCAGGCACCTTGAGAGCCTCTGCCAGGAATCATCAGTCACCTCTTTAACACACATACTCCGACAAACACAGGCGCACATGCAAGCAAATAACATGCTAACATACACATGAGCATTTCAGTAATTAAATATATGGATCAGTGTACAGGACTGCATGTACAGCCCAGCAGTCATTTAATCAAGATCAGCACATATGTTAAAACACAGCAGAGGTTGGTACAGTGAGAGAGAGAGAGAGGGTGTAAATGTACAATCCTGCTGTAAATTGGGTAAATACATCTGAGTACTCTCAACAAGGTTAATGGAGCTAGGAGGCCTCAGTGAACACTGGTCTAGACACACCACACAGTATTAAGTGGGAATAGCTGTGGCAGTGTATCTGGCTAAGTACTTTAGAAGTGCAAATAGGGCTCTAATAAAGCAAACGATCCCTCTGTTTTGAGAAAGAGGCCCAAGAGGGACGCTGAACACCACGTTTGAGATTCCAAGCACTGACAAACACCCATTTGTGGCCCTTCTATCCCCTCTCAAATCCCACGGAAGCTTTTCCATGCGCGCAAGACTGTCGGATGTGGGCAAAACCCAACCGCCAATTTGCAGAGGATGTGCCGTGTTTGCTAATGTGATGCAGAGACTAAAAATGAGACCACACAAACTCTGGAGGATGGACTTACTGATCTGCTTTCAGGCAAAAGTGCTGATTTTTTTTTTTTGTTTCTGTGAACAGGCACTAGAGTACACTCATGCTTGTGGGCACTGTGAAGCTCACTTGGGACAATATGCCAAGGACTATGTTGATGCTAGGCTGTAATGCTGATATATGCCGATAATGAACTGTTTAAAGATGTGGAATGCAGTGCAATTTCAGGGCTATCATGTTGACTTGAGATCAGAGAAAATGCTGATCTGCCGGAATTAAATGTAATCCCAAAGAATGAAACACGATCATGGCAGGCCATCCCACTCCAGAAGCTGTAAGTAAAGACATTACCTCAGTGGTGCAGCTTGAGTGTGGGTGAATGTCTAATCGCACATCTGTTCTCCTCAATCTGTGTGTATTTTTTTTGTCTGTAAAGGGATGATTGTGTAGGAGGAGGGTAAAGCCGAATGAACTTGCATAATCAATTTTCACACTTTCACAGCACCTGTTGGCTTGTCTTCACGTTAAAAGAAATGAATGAATGCATTACATGTATAACAATTTCACACTGTGCTGCAGCTCCATGCACAAAGACGAGGGGAAAATAGGGAGAATGGAGCTGTATTGTCTCAATAGGTAACACAGCTCATTTCACTTGACAAAGGATGAATGGCTTTATTGACAATGTAGAAGGCACGCTGAGGCATTTCCTGAATAAAGCCTCTTAACATTTTGTCCTCTTCTGGCAAAAGAGTTGGGAAACAGTCATTTTGAATGTAGAGGGGCTCACTTACCGCAATATAATAGACCTTGGCTTTCTTCACCAGCTCCCAGTTGCTGTCCAAGTCCAGGTGTTTTTCCTTTTTGTAGCAGTTTGCTGCTGCCAGGTTAGCAACAAGGGACCTGCCGAGACAGACCCCATAAATCTTCAGCCGCGCTTATCATCCATCTTAATTTTGTCTCAAAAACATCCCTAAAAACACTCGGGCCCCAGACTTTCCTTTGTTCTTTCACAAAATAAAAGGATGATAATAGTTTCTTCTAATGTCTGAACCAAGGTGAAGTAATGTCATCTGGATGACGTTATTTTTCTTTATTTTAAAAAAATAGGTTATCCCAAACACCAAAAAAAATAGGAGATTAAAATAAGCAGAGATATTTTTAAGGTCAACAATGAGCCATCTTCAAATTATTCATGCAGGGGAATAGGTGGAGGCAAAACAACAGAAATGTATTAGTAAATGAGCACTTGAGTTGAGTAGTGAGTGGCGGGAGCCGAAAGTGAAGCAGGTGGCATTATCTTAACATAGCGCATTAGCCAGGCCTTGCGTGCCATCTCTTTATGAGCAGCCATCAAAATGAATACAACCATCATTGCTACTTAGGGGAAAAACTGTTAGGCGACCATATGACGAGAGGGTGTTGCCACAGAAAGACATCCGTTTTCACATGGGAAGATGGAGTAGCTCACCATAGTTAGTGTCAAAGAAAAAAGTAACACTGTGCTAAGTTAATCAGGTAGTGGTCACAAAGGACACAATTTGACAGCTAGACAACACTTGACCTGAGCTGCAGTAACAAACTCCAAGGTTAAAACAAGCATGAGAGAAAAAAAACATGAAGTCCAACAGAAGTGAGCAATCCACCACACACTCGAATAACAGCTATAGATTGGTGACAGATCAAAGAAACACCTAAAGTGTCTTAGAGGCAACACATGTCGCCAGAACAGCTTCACTGCACCTTGGCATTGATTCACCAAGTCGCTGAACTCTACTGAAGGGATGAACACCATCTTCCCAAACATATTCCCTCATTTGGTGTTTAGATGATGGTGCTGGAGATGTTTCCTAACACACTGCTCCAAAATCTCCCAAAGGTGTTCAACTGGGTTGAGATGTGGTGTCTGTGAAGGCCATAGCATATGATTCACATAATTTTCAAATAGTCCAAACAAACAAAACTATAGCATAATTTTGTTTTTAGAAAAGCTGATGCATAATTTGTAATTTTGGGCCTTGATTAGCACAGAAACACTGAGATCCGAAATCACCTTAACAATTGAACCTTTGATTACACATGTAAGAGCTAAATAAATGGATTTCCTATGCCAAAATGTGATTAAACATGTAGTATCTTTACAGATCCCAACTCAAATTCTCAGACTTAAGTAGGAAGCATGTTTTTTCTTTGAAGATTTGAACTAATCTAAGCCTGGGGGCTGTGACATACTGGCTCCCAATCCTTCAAAGCCATCACCCTACCAATCAGGCCCTGGCAGCGACCTTTCCTCTGGCCTCCTGAGCTGTCTGTTAAACACCTGTAAGAAATATTACAGAGCTTGTCTCTCTGAGCATGGCACCTGACCTTTTCAGGTGTCAGAGCCCACATCAAACAAGCCCACTAAGACCATTCAGCGAGGTTGGCTCTCAGGGCAGTCAGGGTCCAGCCGCTGACTGACTGACAACTCCCGTAGCAACAGATGAAGGGCTACAGAGCAGGAGACTGTTTAGAGGAGGAAGTTATTGATCTATACTTGGTCTATCATGAACTGGAGTCCTCACTGTTAGCGATATCTGTGTGTGTGTGTGTGTGTGTGTGTGTGTGTGTAGGCTTTGACCTCTGCTGTCTCAGACGTGCTGATGATGATGCTAGCTTGACAGTCGCCAGAGACACTAAAGCCCGTTTTACAACTGAGAAGGCTGACAGGTGAGTTGGGATAGCTCAGCCACCTCTAACACATTGCTACTGTCAACCTATAGATGGATGACAACCCACTGAGGCGGCAGAGACTGAGTGGGGGCCTGAAAAAACACATTCAAGCTGTTCTTTTTCCTTTTGATGTGTGAGCTGAGCTATGATATCCTGTTATGACTTCCAGCCCTGAGGAATCAACTGCCTGCCTGAGGATGTAAAAATGGACCAAAATGACTCTTTCAAAACTGAGTTAGAGGGTCATGTCATGGTCAAGGGTGAGTGAAAGTTAGCTAACCTATTGTCCCCAGTGATACAGGCTGCACAGGTACCGGTTGGCTCCTCGTTTTGTTCATAGTAATGGGCATCAACGTGGGCTTCTTCGGCCTTCTTCTTCAGAATCTTGCCGAAGTGGTCGGTACCGATGCACCCGAAGAAGGTAGCCACTTTGTGAGGTTTCTGGATCATCCACTAAAAACAGAGAAAATAAAAACAGCAGTTGCAGTAAGCTCAGTTTACAAAATATAAGTCTGTTTAAAGGGTCAAGTTCAGCTAAGGCAGATGGCACACAAACTGTAGCTTCACAGCAAACATACTGCTTGTGATATATGAGGGCTGCGAGCTGTCGTAAACAACCCAAGACCAATTCCACTCCACACAGAGGCACTATTCTCATCCAAGTACTCCTTCCTCCCTGTGTGCTAAAAACAGTCTCATCTCCTTATTTACACAAACCCCATAATTCAAGGCTCCATCCTACTTATGCAAACACAGACTCTCTGCGTGTGTGCGAGAGTGTGTACCTGCTACCACAGGACACTCCCCGAACTGCTCGCTGGTCATTTTTTTGGTCTCGACAGGTCTGATGTACTCAGTGACTTTTACTTGATGAGAGAGGGGAGGGGCTGTTCAAATTCTGTAGCGCTCAGGTTTAACCTCCAAAGATTTACTGACGAACAGTACGTGCTGCTGTTTGCTCATTTTATTGCAGCCTCCTGTTTTGTTGCTGACGGGGGCCCCTTGTGAATGAGATGTTGCTGCTTTCGGGGATGACCTGTATATGTGTGAAATTAATCATTTCACACGACCAAATAGCATCTCGGTAGGGGAAGAAAAATGCATTTTCATCACCCATCCTGAGACTCTCTCTCCTGTTATGCTTTGGTCTCCAGGTAACTAGTTCAGATGGGAAAAAAATAAATAATCAAATAGAAACATAAAATTATCCAAGAAAAAAATTTCATTACTTTAAGCAAGGCTCCGGTGTGTACCACTCAGGCAGCCTTGGACAAGGCTGCCAACAGTGATTATTTTCACTTTCATGAATCATTTTTAAAAATTTTTACAGTAAATTCCCCATCATAATTTCATATATCCCACGCTGATACTGCATTTTGTATGATCAACGGTCCAAAACCAGCAGTATACAGTTTAGAGTGTTACAGAGAACAGTGGCAAATCCTCACATTTACTGTGGTAGTAGCAGCTGCAACCAGAAAATGTTTGGTAGTTTTGCCTTATAAATGATAAAACACTATTAAGTGGGAAAAATGTCAATTGATTTTTCATCCAATAAACTAATCAATTCATCTTAATGTTTCCAGCACTAGTGCCAGTAAAATGAACAGTAATAAAGCCACATATGTCTGCTGTATCTTGGGCCATGAGCGGTCCTGCCATGTGTCATCTTGAGTCATGGTTCAGCCTTTCAGCTGAACCAAACACACAAACGTATGAGGAAATCCACAGTGAAGGCTGACAGAAGTGAACTCTTCTTCCCTAACCTTTTGCTGCAGGCACCTCACACTTATCAAGGTCACTGACTCGGGTACATGTCAAGTCCAATCTGATTTTCCCTTTGCCGTGATGAGCTCTGAATCCAAGGTTAGGAGCTGCAGGCTGTAAATAATGACGGCGCAGCCCCTCCATTTGCAGGCCTCTCAGGTGGGAATAGAGAGGGCCATTCAGGGGCCCCTGTCCCTCTGATGACAGCATGGTGAATCACAGTGCAACCAAAGAGCTCACAACCAGATCACCCCCGGCCCCCACCCCTCTGCATCTGCAACTCTCCTACCTCCTCCACCTCCTATCTGTCTCTCTCTGACCGTCGGCTGTACTCTCACTGCCAGCTCAGCTTGTCATTTTACAGGGTCATTAACAGACACATACACACTAACTTGTGCATGAGTACACAGCGCACCCACGGAGGAAAAAGGCTAACATACACAGACATACAGAGAAATCCTCTCTAGCGCCACAGCGCCGAAACTCCCTCCCTTCCTAAAAAATCCACCCCTGCTTTTGCCAGAATCTGCTCTCCTACTCCAATAAACACAAAGCGGCGATAGATAAGAAGAAAATGTCTTCATTATGAGCGGGTAAAGAAAAAAGTATCTTGCTTTTTTTTTTTCTTCTGCTCTGTGGTGCACAGGAGCAGGGAGTTATATCAATTCATTTCCATCCCTGGCACCCTGCAGACAATCCTTCTCCATTCCCAGATTATGTGAGATAATACCTCCATTATGACAAAAGCACTATTCGTGGGGTCGCTGAGAGGTCAACCAACCCTGCGCTGGGTATTCATGCTTAGTCACATCCCAATTATACTGCAGTGGCAGAGGCAGAAATTGGCAAATGTACATCAAGGCGCTTCATTACTGAGGGCTGCTCCAGTGAAATTAAGCAGCAGATGAGACAGAGTGAGATTTGCCCCCAGGCGGCATGTTAGACAGAAAAAGAGAGGAGGATGGAAAAAAGAGGGAAGCTGAAGTAACAGATTTTGCTGAAGGAGCTAAGAGCTTCTATCTTGCACAGCGGCTCATGTATATTGACTTAACTAGGGAGAACGCCAGCCTCCAAAGATTAATAAGTTCCCATGATACACAACAGCTACATATCTCTAAGTATGTTTAGATAGGGAAGGGAAAGCTAATACAAACAAGCAAGAAAAATCTCCTTGAAAAGCAGGGGTAAGATGCTGCACAAACGCTAAAGGCAAAGTGATGATATGTATACATTATGTTAAGTGGAGATTAAGTCTGGCATCTCTTTCTGTTTGGATCCCATTTACCCAAATAATCTCGACCCCCCACCCACCCAAAATTGGCCCTGAGGCCCCCAGATAGCTATTAATTATGACATCTCATGGTTGCAAGGAGCCCCACTTGGGGGGCTGACCTAGGCCTGCTCCTAGCAGCTGCCACCTTTCAGTATGAAGGTAACAGCGCCGCGTGGCAGCTTCCAGGAGGGCAATTACACAGCCTCGACGAGGCGGCTCAGTGTTTGGGACTAGGGTGGTCAGACTGCCATTAGCACTATAAGCTATTACATTCCCCTCCTTCCTCCTCACTCACTTGCTGCTGTATATTGATGAAGTGGTAATGGGACCTCTAGTTAGATATTCCTCCTGTAAAAACATCATCTTGTTTCTAGGCTCCCTGAGGGGTCAATGTATTCTCCTGGAGTTGTTGGAAATCATTTCTGCTCTATTAATGATGCAATTCCAATGCAATTCAGCTCTACTGAAGACACTGCACTGTGGGCTTTTGTGGGGAATTGATAGACAATATTGTCTTTTATCCAGCAGCTTGATAACAAAGTGGTGCCTTCTGCATATCACCAGGAAGCCGGATGGCCATCAATCCAGGTTCCACCCTCTCTCCCTGCTCAGTTCATCAGTACAAGTCTCCATTCACCTCACGTCACCTCACCAGTGGGGTCCTCTTGAGAAGAACATGTCCGTGCCTAATGGTGGCCACATTAATTATAGGCTTATCAAACCCAACAAAAACTCAGTAGGGCTATTTATAGAGGCCTAAAATAGGGTGCTGCAGACTGGGGTAGCCTGTAACAGCCTCCCCTCACTCTACAGCTTGTCTATTAGAGTCCAGAAGTGAAGGCTGATATCCGTTTCTTTTTACTGTACAGTTAAAACAACTAGCAAACATCTGTCCATCAAGATCTGTCATGGCGAGTGCTTTTATATAAAGCGTGGCAAAGCAGAGGGCCCTCACCATGAGTGCTGACGCTGATGAAGTCTGGCAGCTTTCATTAAATCACTCTTTC